TGTTCGCAACCTCCAATTACTTTCTGATGGTTTCTTCTCCTACAGAGCTGAGGAAACACATCTACGCTGATATTCACACGCCAACAAGACTGTATTCTTAGGCTATTAATTAAGCCCCAGACTCTTTGCTGTATAGCACTTCAAATCAGCAAACATGTACACCTCTTTCCACTTAGCATATTTTCATAGGTGAAAACAGCAGTCTGTTAATTGGCCTGGAACAGTTGGAGAAACCTCAGGACTAAAACAAGGGCAGGACTTTTTTTTTTCTTTTTCTTCCCGTGCTCCTGTTGCCAACAGAAAGGTGATTTAATGACACCCTGAGTATTGTGCATGTACAAGCACAAGTGTCATAATAACATTTTACAACACTCCACTCTTTGGTTGTTGAGCTTTTAGCTCAGTTTGTTAGAAACACCAAGCTTAAATTGGCTACACCACTGTTTTTTGGTTTTATTTGAAAACAAATTTCTGATATTTGTTTTGACCTCACATTAGCAACGACATTGATAGCCCGTCAAAGAACATGCATAGAATTTTTTTTTTAAAAAGGACCCATTACTCTGCAGCAATTTTACATTTATGAAACAACAGTGCAGAAGTTTTTTTTCCCATACATTTATTATGGACAAATTAACTTGCTTTAAGTCAGATTATAAGATTATAGACTGCTGTATTATTGTCAATTGTCTAATATAATCAAATTGGCCTTTTGTGTTCTGAATCTATGCAAACACATATTCATAATATTATAATAATAACTTAAATGGCTCCAAGAAAGTAAATATTTGTAAAAGAACGTCTGATAAAAATATAAAATTAATGCAAAATGATCTAAATCTTTGCAAATATTATTTCCCACAGTAAGTGCACATCCAGAGAAAACTGCTGAATATTCATTGCGCCCACGCTGAATAATTAAAAAAAAATTAAATATGATGCTAAAATGTTTAACTGGTAGAGAGCAGAAACCTAGTTTTAGAAAACTTACAATCCAACTCGGTCATCTGGTGTCATGTAAATATGTGGAGGCTCAGCCATCATTTTCACATGGATCACTATTCTACATTATTCTGTGAGCACAGCACTGGGATGAATTGTTAGAATTTTGACAGTCATTTGTCTTAAGTTGTCTGGAGGAATACCAGTGTACTGACAGGCAGCGGTGACAGTCTGTCTGAATCTTCGTAGGTGTGGGTTCATTTCTGTCCATTTAAAAGTATATATTATTCTGAATAATATACGTTTAATTCAAATTGCTGTAGATTTTGTATTTCAACCTGGCATTATTGTCCTTGAGTTTTTGCTTAGAGTTTTGACATTTGATCTTAATCACAAAATATAAAATGTTTTCAGAGGAGAGCACAGCCTGTGTTGACAGATTTGCAGTGAAAATCAGTGAGTGAATCAGTGTGAGTGTAGAAGACACTTCATCAAGAGCCTAAATCTGAGTGTATTATGTTCTCCTCAGGGTTTGGTTGCACATTTGCTCTCTGTGTCACACAGTCTTACAGTGAACCATCTGTTTATCGTGTCTGAGCTATTTCAGTAAATTAGCCCGAGTATAAACAAGACTGCTTACGTTTCTATCATTTTCTTCTCTAAAAATCTTAGTATTTCAGCAGTTATTCGTACTCTCACTGGTCTTATCTGAATATTAAATATTAAATGTAGTTATTGTAATTTGTATTTGACCTCCTAAAATTAATTGCAATTCCTTGACTCATGAGTAGATCAAGAAACAAAATCATTGTGTCATCATGTAAGTCTTACCCTCGGACTAAACATTCTAAAATCTAAATTTAACACGATCTATTTAGTCTAATGATTGTGCACCAGATTTAAGGAAAAAGAAAAGTGATCTGATCATGAACTATGATCTGTCACTGGAGACAACAACAATGTTGTAACAAAATTGCATTTTTCTACTGTTTATCTTCTGTTTTGAATTGACCACGGTGTCATTTGTATCAATCTCTGCTCATCTCTCTTTGTCACCCAGGTGTCCCTCTGTCTACTCAGTGGGGGCCTCAGGGCTACTTCTACGCCATCCAGATCGCCCAGTACGGCCTCAGTCATTACAGCAAAAACCTGACGGAGCGAGCACCTCATGTTGAAGTCTACGATACAGCCGAGGACAGGGACAGCCGGGCGAGCGCAGCTCAGTGGAGTGTGCCTAAAGGTTGTGTTCACAGCCGTGTCTATGACAACACCAGGTTCACCTCTGTGCGTCAGTTCAGTGCTCCAGGTATGTAAGTGCACAGGTTCATCAGTAGCCTAGAGGAAATACACTTTCTCTGATTTAACAGTGACCGAACAAGGTTCCATATGTAGCTCCATACCAGGACAGGGTGATACTGATTGGTGAGTCACAGTCCGAGAATACCAGCAGCCTGTATAAGGTGACAGTGGACACACCACGTAATGTACACATCACCGAGAAACTCCACAGGAAGCAGAGAATCAGCATCACCTGTTCATTCTATTTTATTTTCCAACTCACACGTCATCACATCTACGTAAGTTAAATGTAGAGTGAAAATTCCAACCAGCAATATGAGTCATTATATTGAAATTCAATATTTGTTAGTTTGGTGGTATGACTTTTTTTATTTTATTGTTTTGAATATAGTATTTATATAATCTGTAAAAAGATGCAAACCTAAATATTTCATTTAGTTGCACAGAAATTTGCTTTCATAAATCAGCTGTAAAAAGATGCAAACCTAAATATTTAATTTAGTTGCACAGAAATTTGCTTTTATAAATCCTTGAAACAAATCGATTCGATTCACTAGGGACACAGATGGAACCTGACAAACTTTTAACTTTTGATGACAGAGGACTGAAGGCAACAAAGTGGAACTTGCAGCAATAAACTATTTAAGAGAAACTGTTTGAACAAGAGGCACAATCCCCAAAACAACCAGTTTGCTTGTGCATTTTTATGCAATCTTTTAAAGTTTATACCTTGGAGAGCAATTAAGCCCTCACGCTGGTTGTTGTTCAAGCCTTTATAATCAATACTTTACTGTGGGGGTTATTCCCCAGTCAGTGCAACATCAATGATAGTTGGAACCAGGTCATATTAGTCAGCTGAGTCCCTGGTCTATTTCAGATACAGTTAAAGTGGCGTTGTTGTCTTTAGGACACCCGGCTTTGACAAAACCCCTCAGACTGTTGGTTGATGCCAAGCATGTGGTCCAGGATTACAAAGGCACAACTGTGTTTGTTTGAACCAACCGACCTGCCTTCTCTCAGAGAGATTACTTTCGATTATTATCAAGACGGAGAGCTAGTTATGGATCATATTTTGTGAACTGATAATTCACAAAATGTTATTTTATTTAAACCATTGGAACTGATAATTCACAAAATGTTATTTTGTGAATTATCATTTGTGTTTTTTTTTTCAATTTATATTTTCTTATTGTAGGGTTTTTGCCAAAAACATTTACATTTAGAGTTACTATAAATACCTGCTCACCTGTGCCTGTATTTATTCACATTTCCAGCCACACCTTTCTCACAATGTTCAACTTACAGCGGCTGTTAATGATAATAACAATCATAACTCCATATCTTCTCACCAGGTCAGCTTTACATTATAGTTACAGTATTACCATCATCCTGGTCTGGTCCACAGTTGTCTTTCAAACATGTAAAAAAAAATTAAATTTCTCTTGAAGAAAAGTATGTAGGTCATGGTTGCTAGCTTGCTAACACTGCAATAATAACTATGAACCATGGTGACAAATTAGAATTAGAAATTAGAATTGACTTATCAAGTAACAAATGTGTTCAGCCTTGGGTGAGCAAAGACCAAGCGGTACCCTTTGAGCTGCATGTGGGGAACCGTACCAACCGTAACAAATGTTCCTAAGAAGTTATAAAACCCATAGAAAAATGTGGCTTAGATTTTCACCTCTAAAACCTCAGAGGGCTTTTATAAAATCTGGGAAATACACAGTGGTGACTTTAGACTGCCTTCACTACACGATCTGCTTGTATTTCCAGGACGGCCTGTCTCTGTCTGTTCCCTATTGACCGGCTGTGTCTGCTGTAACTCTCCCCTCCTCCCATCTCTTCAGGTTTCTGCTGCTCCTCACCATCCATGTCTTGTTTCATCCTTCTGCAGCTTCTCTCCGTCTCTACCTTTTCATTTAGCTGCAACTTGTCAAACCCTGGCTCACACTTTCCCTGACGTCGTCATGTTTTCATCATCCCCCTTCAGCCTTCCTCTGACACTTTTCATATCCAGGCTTCAGTCTTTAACCTCTACACATCATCTATATTTCCTCCTACCTATTATCGCCGTTCAGCTCTTTTGTCTCTCCTACATGTGACAATCCGATTCCCTGATCTATTATGGTACTTACTCGGTTTCAGACCTTTTATATTTATATATATATATATATATTTATGTATATATATATATATATATTTATGTATATATATATATATATATTTATGTATATATATATATATATATTTATGTATATATATATATATATATTTATGTATATGTATATATATTTATGTATATGTATATATATATATTTATGTATATGTATATATATTTATGTATATGTATATATATTTATGTATATGTATATATATTTATGTATATGTATATATATTTATGTATATGTATATATATATATTTATGTATATGTATATATATATATTTATGTATATGTATATTTTGTTTTTGTATTTTTCCCTTTCCATTCGCATCGCTGACACCACTCCCTCGTTGTTTTTCTTTCAACTGCTCCTGGGCTGCTGCAGTTGAACAGCCCTCTCAAAGCTTCTGACAAGCAGATCAATTTTTGTCCCCTGGTAATAACCTGTTCTCCACCATCTGTACATAAACTCACTGTCCTTCTCTGGGGACTTTTTATTTTCAAAATCTCCTCCGTTGCTCTCTTCATGGTTCAAAAGTCGTGTTAAAATTATTATTCACTGCATGCAGATGTATTTTGGTAACATCTGTCACCAACTACAGTGCCTTTGAAATGTGTTGACAATACTAAGGTGATGTTATTTTTTAAAGCTGGTCATTTGCACAATTCGTGTTGCACTGACACTATAGCTATTTAAAATATTTGGTAAAAATAGTCGAAGCTATTTCAAGAAGAAATACCACTCCTTTAACACCAACACTGGCTCTTCATCACACATCTCATTTATGGCCCTGCATGTGCTACAGCAATATATCTGCATATATGTCCTCTTATAAAACATTCATTTTATTTAAACAGACATCATTCTACAGTTATTTAACATTAGTTTGTAGTCAGGTCATTAGGGTAAAATTTAATATGAACCTTGTCAAACATTAAGATGATGATTTATGAAAATACAGTCAACAGAATATATAAATATTTGGTCCCATGGTTGGTGAAACGTCTATAATTCATCACTGTGTCCTTTGGGAAAATGTAAATGTTTTTTCTTACTGTTTCAATTATTAAATGGATGGAGATTAAATGGGGAAAATCAATAAATATCAAAATATACAATTGATTGTGTCTGGACAAACAACAGTTGTTAGAGAAATCCTTCCCCAAAGCTTTATCTCCTGGATGTGCCTGGAGGGGGTGAATATGTACCGTACACGGTTGCACCGTCACACTGGTGGTTGAGATCAACCCACAGGCAACACATGTTGAACATGTTTTTATTTCAAAAATTCAGCAAGCAGGCCAGATTCACAGTGACATGTATTTCTAGCTTCATGTCATTTCTGTCTCCTGCCTTTGTGCAAAGCAGTCAGGGAGCTAAGGAGCAGAGAGGAGGTGGAATCACCTCCTCTATATTCCCTGCTCATCCTTTATTGATGGCAGAGTAATCACAGGCCCAGCGTACAAATCCACTTACTCTCTGCATTGCCTTGAGTAATGGATTTATGAGTGCATTAAAGAGCCATAGTCGTCCAGAGGCCCCTGCCAGGCTGGCTCTTTCCTTTATTCTCCTGCTGATCAACTCTTTGTGTTTCACTCCACCTTGTCCAGCTCTGCTTTTCCAGTCTGTATCTTGTGATATCTCTTTCTCTGACTCCTTTCCGCCCTTTCCGCTCCTGCACTGGCCTGAAGGGCACTCGTGCAATCCATCATTCCATTACACTCCTTTTCCTTCCTCACTCCTTCCCTTTTTGATTTTCTCATCCTGAAGATGAGGGAAAGTTTGATCTTCTTTTTATACCAAACCACAAGGCAAATCAGGAGTTTTTTTTTAAAAGGTTTTAAGTGCTTTTAGTTTTCACAAGAACCTAAGACAACAACTGTTTGAGAAATGATGGTGGGTAAGAATGCAGAAACTGCAGAAATGACTTGAAACTAACTCTTTTTTTCCCCCTCTTTGGTTGATGTTAATAACATGTTTCATAATGCTACATTAAGGTCTCTTCTTCTTTTTTTCCTTTTCCTTCCTGGTGCTCAGTCCTCGCCGGCACATCTGCAGTTTTTGCTACGTCTCCTTCCAACCTTGTCTCCATTTCTCATCTGTTTTTTTCCACAGACACAAAGGCATGGCTGTTATAAAAATGACAAGATTCTATTATTAAAATAAGACTTTGACCTCAAATCATCCCTAAAGCTTTGAGGCTTAAACTAAAGTGACTTTTAGAATAAATGTTGACTTCATGAGTAAAAGACTCATCATAGATAAATAAAAGAGATAGACAAATGAACTGACAGCCTAAAAAAAGGTTTCAGGGACTGTGCTAAAAACAGATCAAGACCATCAGTCAATCATCTGACTTTCTTAATTTAGTCAAATAGGGTTTTTTGGGTGGGGGGTTTCTTCTTCTTTTTATGCTCTCAAACATACTTTGAAATGCATCCCTTCCTCTATTCTGTCCATCACACAGAGTCATCAGAAGGCCTGTCTCTCCAGCTGGGTAACTCCAAAGACTTTATCCTTAGCTTGGACATCAAGTTTGTCTCCAATGGCAGCCTGTCTGTGATCCTGGAGACCACAGAAAAGGGCCCGCCCTTCACCATCCATTATGTGACTAACACGCAGCTCATCGCCTTCAAAGAACGGGACATTACCTACGGCATTGGGCCGCGAACCGCCTGGAGCACTTTGACCAGAGATTTGATCACTGACCTCAGGAAGGGCGTGGGCCTTTCTAACACCAAGGCTGTGAAGGCCACAAAGGTCAGCTTGTGTTGTTGAATGGTTCCCAATGAGTGTGTGTTATAACCACAGTGAAGATACACTCTGTTCTTATTCCTTTAGGTCGTTATTTCTGTTCTAAATGTTCTGTTCACGGTCAGTCTAAATGATCTTGAAGTTAAATAGTTCAGTTCAACACTGAACTATGTTTGTGTAGTAGTAGCCAGCTTTCTACCATATGAAAATAATTGCACCTTCTATGATTATTTGCTGCTCTATTAACATGGTTTCCCTTTCAGATCATGCCAAAACGGGTGGTGCGCTTGATTCTCCATGGGCGTGGCTTTGTTGACAACGTCACCATCTCCACCACGGCCCACATGGCAGCCTTCTTTGCTGCTAGTGACTGGTTGGTGCGCAACCAGGATGAGAGAGGTGGGTGGCCCATCATGGTCACTCGCAAACTTGGTGATGGCTTCCGGCCCCTGGAGCCAGGCTGGTACTCAGCCATGGCTCAGGGCCAAGCCATGTCCACACTAGTGAGAGCTTACCTCCTCACCAAGAACCAGCTTTACCTCAATGCTGCCCTAAAGGCAGTAGGACCTTACAAGGTGCCTTCAGCGCAGCACGGGGTCAAGGCGGTCTTCATGAACAAATATGACTGGTATGAGGAATACCCCACCACCCCAAGTTCCTTTGTCCTCAACGGTTTTATCTACTCCCTGTTGGGGCTCTACGATGTGACTGAGACAGCCGGGGAGAAAGTGGGCTGGGAGGCGGGGCAGCTCTTCAGCCGAGGTATGGAGTCACTGAAGGCCATGCTTCCGCTGTTTGACACGGGGTCTGGGAGCATCTACGACCTGCGTCACTTCATTTTGGGCGCAGCGCCCAACCTTGCACGCTGGGACTATCACACCACGCACATCAACCAGCTGCAGCTGCTGGCCTCTATAGACAGTTCTCCCATCTTCAAAGATGTGGTCAAGCGCTGGAAGAACTACTTAAAAGGGATTCGGGCCAAGCACAACTAAGCCAACTCAAATCCACATACATCACGGAGTGGAGGTGCCGCTGCAGAGCAGTAGCGTGCTTGGAGAGCTGAAGGAAGAATTGTGTTTTTAAAGTAGGAGAAGAGTTCGTTCAGCTGCAGCACTCAAATGTCAAACTCTTTGCTGTGTCGTAGGTTTTATATTTCCTGCAGAACAAACTGTAGCTACCCCACTACTGTCCTTTAACTCTGGTGTTAAACGCACAGGCTTGGTGTGCACGGCTGCACACTGGTGCACATCCTTATGATTTTAGAGAAGGAATAACTTCCTTAAATGAACCCACATTTCAGACATATGCTGTTGATTTTATCTGAAATTCTAATTTTCTACAGATTCACCTGATATTTACCAAGAAGAAAGATAGGGTAAAACTAATGTGTAAATAACATTATATATAAATTATGAGGTGACAATTGCCAAAAAGAAAAATCCTTATTGATGTTAAATTATTTTTTGAGCAACACAAATGCAAACATATTTCATTTTCAGAATTTCAGGAAAGTTTTTTTTTTTTTTCAATTAGTTTTTAGATGAGCATCTTAACATGGCTGTCATCCCTTTACATAAGAAGACTGAAGTGAAGAGTGACGAGAGCAGTAGCTGAATGCTTCCAACCCAGTAGCTTCCGGGACTTTTCTAAAAACCGTTGCTAAATGTATGAATAATACAGTTATTTAGGTGAGTTGTTGTTGTGCACAGTGAGCTTGACTCCTTTATATTGTTTGGTTTTTTTCCTATAAATATGTGGTAATGAGCTGTGTGTATGCCAATGAGCTTAAAGTCAGCTTTTAAGAATGTTTACCTCAACCAATCATAATCGATTTCAGTAAAGTCAGCGGATAAACCACTCATCTCCAGGCTTCTGTTGTCCAGCCATCGTTTCACTGTCAGAGTTCAGATGTTGCTGCTTTTGGTGAGGAGATAGTAACTGAATTAAACAAATCAGCAGTGAACCACCAGAGGGCGTCTCAGCCAACGTCAACTCTACGAATTAAAGTCCAATAGAAAATTAGCATTAATTAAGTTCAAGCTTAATCAGTATAATTTTTAACATGAAGATTAATCATTTTCAGACTTGAATAAATTGCCACACATGAAATTTCTCATCCTGTTTAAAGGGAAAAAGTTGATAAAGTCAGTGGAAAAAAGATTATCCACCAGTGTGGTTACTGGACCATCTTTACAGTTTTTGTTGTGACGTGTTGGGGGCAATATTCTTCAGACTCTGTTTCCAGAAAACTACTAATTTATAAAAAAACAAAACAAAACAAAACCTGTTCATTAGTCAGGCAATAGTTGAAGAATCCACATGAATTACCACAGATTTTGGTTCTGTTGCATACTCGGAATCGTACCAACCTTTCAGATCAATGCATTTGTATGAATGTTTAAATCTGATAGTCCTTGGCGCTGATGCTGCTCTGCTGCTGATAGCTGCGATGCTTTAAGACGACACGCTGTTTGCTGCCACTCTCAGCTGTAACTTAAAACCAAAACAGAGCAACGCTCGGTCGCAAAGTCATTAATAATTCACGTGCTGTTGTAGAACTGCCACGACTGATCAGTCCCGCTTCACGTTTGAGTTCAAGTCATTTGGGATTGCACACGTTCACCACATCACACGTCCTGCCTGTGGATCCTAACCGTGTTGATTCAGCAGCGACGGTCCGTCAGCTTCAGCTAATGATGAACAAGAAGCGTCTGGGTATTTGCTGAATATCCGCCGCTGTCACCCTGGTCTTAATTTTATACCGAGAACCAGTTCACATTCTGCACTCAGCTCCACATACAGAGTATATATCTTCTGTCTGAGGCTGGTCGATGATGTTATTCATAATCTTAAGTGTTCTGATTAGCAGCTACAGATGTAAATGAGTCAGCAGCTTTGACTAATGACAATCAGTGTGTGCACTGTCCCTAATAAATTCAGACAGAAAAGACCACTAAACTTTTCTGCTGACACTGCTGCAGTGTGAAAAGCCCCTTAAAGGAAATTGAATGGCAGTTATTTATGTCCATAACCGTCTTGTGAAAGGCTCTCATTCTGTCAAGTCAAACTCATCTTCTCCTCGTTTAGATTTTCACCACTCACTTCATCTTGTTCTTTTTTTTCCCCTTCCTTTTTTTCTGCCTTGTTTTGTCTTTGTGTCCTCAAATTCCTTCTTCATCATGAGATCATTTTTTATCTGGTTTAATTTAACAAGAAACTAACGTGTTTTGTCATTAGTCTTCTTGCCTTTTCCAGTGTCTCTTTGTCTTATCTTCCTGTTGTCCTCTGCCTCTTCTTTTCCGTTGTTGTTTTCCATGCTTATTTCCACTTTTAGTCCATTTTGCATCCATTTATGATCTTCTTGTTGGGCAATGAAGATAAATTTGGAGATGAAAAAACGTGTTTTAGTACAGTCGGTAAAAACTGCCCTGTATCACTACAGCTGCTGCTGTGCTGACGGTGCTGACGGCTGATAAAGGATCAATCCAAAGTGATTCCTATCTTCTTCTATTTCTCCTCCTTTTTTTCCTTTGTCTTTTGGCTCCTCCCCTCAGGGTGTTTATTACAGCTAATCATCTGCCTCCATCTCACCCAACTCCTTGTCTCCCCACCTTTTACACCAAACACAATGTCCTTCTCAGCATCTACCACAAATCATCTTTGGAGTCTTCCTCTGCCTGACAGCTCCATGTGGAGAAAACACAACGGTTATAATATGAAATTCATCATAAAATTACAAATTTTGACGAATGCTAATTGCAGCATTTGTGTTGTTAAGAGTGAGCAGCAGCAGCAGCATCAGCATCGTCTGAGCTGCAGTTAAATCATCACAGCATTGTTTAATCGTCAGGTAAATTCTTAGCTCTCAGCTGATGCAGGTGAATGAAGTCTGTCCTTTAGTCTCCGCTGACCGTTGACCGCTCTAAGTGGAGACTGAGGCTTCACCCAGACTCTAACAATTCACCTGCCTAATAGGCCTGGAGCTCAGGCACAGTGGAGTAGCCTGAGTCAGGGATGAGTCAGCATCAGCTGCCGTCACACTCTCACAAACAAAACATAATGGAGTGTTCAGCGTCACGAGGCCTTCCTTGATCTGCTTCAAAGATTAGTAATGAGCGGCAGAAGGATTAGTGCCGTATTTTCTGGGTTTTATTTTAAAAAAAAAATGTAAACGTGGGCTGGTAAAACATTTTTTTCTCACTGTGTCCCTTACGGTTTGCCGTACATCATACACAAATAATTACATGGCACAAGGTAGGTTTTTACCTAGCTTTGTTTTTTGAATGCTCTATGATTTTGTTTTAATGTTTCTTTCCATTTGTTTGTGGTTTAAAGGGAACTTCCAGGTTATTTAAGTGTTGTTTAAGTGTGTAGGTGAATGCAGTTGCCTGTGTTGGGTGAAACCAAAGTCATTGATTCAGCTTCTTTTAAATGTGTATATTTTTGCTTCTAGTCTGTATTTAGTGTTGCAGATGTTTCTGGGATACTTTGTTTTTTTTAAGAAGAGTAATTTTACATGTAGACGAGATGGAAATGAAACACACAAAAAAAGAAAGAAAGATGGGGTCGTGTGCGACCAGAGTTCAGCTTTTTGGTAGCTTCTGTTTGAAAGGGAAATGAGCCAAATGCTGCGAGTTCTCCATGAAAACATTTGCTTCGTGTTTGTGTGTTTTCTCTATTTTCTCTAATTAATTGTATCCAAATACATAAAAGCACAACTGCCACCACCATCACAAATTGCTTTTGAATCATATTTTCTGCTTTTTGAGGACAATGTGCAACGCCTTCATCAAGAAGCTGCTATTATTGTTCACTGTGTACAAAAGTTTGATTTTTCTCCACGTCGGTCTTTGTGCTCTCCATCAAAAGACTCCAACATGTGACCTGCTGAGGTCAAATGTGATTTATGCAATAATAGCCTGTTTACTGGGGGTCGTCACACCACATGTGACCCACAGCAGATGTAGAGACTTTGCAATCAAAGCACAGTGTGCAAAAGTGTTTTTTAGCCCAGGAAAGCGATGTGTTTATATACAAAGTCAATCTTTGTGTTTTAAGATTTTGCTTATTAAAGGGTGTAAAAAATAAAATCATTTTTCTTAAACCTTCTGTTTCTATTTTTTGTTTCTATCTTCTGTTTCTATAGTTTTGTCTATTTTCTGTCTTTCTACAACGTAGACTCAGCCTTGTTCCAGTTTCAATAATCTGCCTACACTTGTCTGTCCCTCGTCCTTTCTAATGACTCAAAATGTACCACAGAGAAAATATGGACCAATATATATGTAAATATAATCTTTGAATCTTAAGAATGTATTTTTAAATAGATACATGATGTCACGGAATTTCTACCAGTTTTAATTTATTGTTACCGCAGTATTTTACTATTTTACAAACGGAGACATTGTGCGCTCATGTGACCCCTGGTGGTGTGATGTCCCAATTTATCTCCATGCTCTCCTGCAGTCAATGGTCAGTCTCATTATTACAGAAAACATGAGACTTTTCATCAAAAAGTCCATAGTCCAAAGTTTCTACAGGGAAACAAACTACTGATCTTCCGCCTGTAAGGCAAGAGCACTAACCACTCTTTCACCGTGTGGCCCAAACCTGGTTATAGTCCACTTCAAATGTTTGTCCAAGGTGCTGGTATTGTCTCTAAAGCTGCTCCAAACCTGGCAGAGAAAGTCCCTGATCCCTCCTTTGTGACGCTGCTAAAAAGAAACACAACAGCGATTAATATTTTATCTTAATTAGTGCTGCTACAAACCAGTGAGAAGGAGCAGAAACACCCGAGGAGCAGCAGCTCTTGCCACCCACTTGCATTTTTCATTACCTTCTGGCACTTACACAATCCTGCCGTAATTCCCTGCTTTACAGCTACGCACCTCACCCCACGTATCGCAGCCCTCCTCCGCTCCCTGACGTTAATGATGTTACTGCACCTCCTCTCTGTGACTCCGTGTCTCCCAGGCCTGTAATTAACCCAACGCCAAACCAATAATCAGTCTCTTCTTCATCCTCTGTGCTGTCTTCTGCTCTCACAAGCCTTGGAGACAGCCGTGATGACATCACAGAGGATCCTCAGTAATCCCAGCCTACGAAGACCACGGCCTCAGTGGTGATATAAGTTTCCACACTTGCTAACATTCAACACACTGTTAGATTGGTAGTGATGCCATTTTGTTTTTTTCCTGGTTGTATTTTGACCTAAAAGTTGTTCCGTTTTCTCTGGAATTACACCATATTGGCCCATACAGGGTGCTACAGTCGTATATACAGTACATGAAATATGAGATAAGAAATAGAGGTGGTCCTCTGGTAACACAAGTGAAGCCCCTGAAGGAGGCGTAGGGCTCCTTCAATAAAGTCATAAAGGAGGTTTTTAGGAAAGACACCACTTCATCTGTTGTGTCAACAATGAGCTGAAGATATGGTCTCAGTGGCAGTTTCTCGTTTTGTGTAATTTGTGAATGTGATCCAAAAAAAAGGGCATTAGGTGACTGAACAAAAGAATTATTATATATTTATATATTTGTGTATATGTGTAGGTAGGTATAACAAAAATCCTTAGCTGTCCTTAGCTAGCCACAAATCTCACAATAAACTTAAACCAGCATCAATGCTAATAACATCATTAGAATTAAACTTAAGTGAAGCTACGTGTTAGACATGTATATTACAGAAAATGTTTATTGATAGACCACTACAGGTGATAACAGAGCCAACATACAACGACAACGACAACGACAAAACGATAGAAAAAGAGACGTTTTGTGAGTAAAAATATTTCTGAAACAGTTTCCTCTGTTGTGTTCTGCCGCCCGGTCACCACATCACTGTGGACCTGGTCTTTTTCTGTAGCCTCTGTTCTTGTGGCACCATGGAGTGGGGAACAAACCAGAGAAGCCTTCGCTGTTTGAAGGGCCCTACAGTCGCTCTTTCTTCTTTGTAACCTTCAAACAGTCACCACTCCTGCTGCCAGACTGTCGCCCTCATCACCTTCACATCGCCTTTCTTTGGAATACTAATTGTTTTCTCTGGTGCAGACAGGGATACGTGCTGTGTCTATCTGCCTACCCTCCTACCCTCCTACCATCCTGCAGAACTCCAAAGGCCTGAGTAACAGTTCAAAGGCGATTTATAACTTAGATCAAAGTCACTTTGTGATGACCAGCAGAGGCTGTAATGAGTTCATAACAGGCAGACTAACTGTGTTAAAAAACAGAGAAGAACAACTGTAATGGATGACTAAATACAGAAGAGGGCACTAGTGAAATTGTCTTAATCAAACTGAAGTGAAAATAAAACAATAGTGTCTCCAGACTGAAGAGATAAGAACAGAAGGAGAGAGACTCAGGCTGTGAGTGTGTGTGAGGTTAAGTTTCAGCAGACATAACAGACAAAGAAAATGAACAAAGGAGAAGAAGAGCAGAAAACCTGTGATAGTCATTTCTGAGGAGACAGAGCAGAGACCACCATGAATCACCACAGCATTGTGTTGATGAGTGAAGGCCAGCCTGTGGTGGTGGTGGAGGAGGACCAGCCAGTGGGGCAGCAGCGCTCTAACGGCGGACTCTGCAGCTACTTCTTAATTGCTGCCATCGTATTTGTGAGCGTTCTTCTGTTTCTGAGGTTCGTTGTCGCTATGAAGACAAATGTACCTCACTGTGCCAACTTTTATTAAAGCAGGGCAGCCCTCCACTACCGCGCTGCCAGAAGCTCAGCCAGCGTCCTAGTTAGAGTCTCTGAGGGTTCAGGTCAGAGTCTGAGTCACGAAAGCAAACTTTGAGTTGAGTCCAAATTAAGTCCCTGGGGTTTTACTGGAGTCACAGCAGAAATGTGTCAAATTCCCAGTGTGGATTCAGGTGTCGATTGTTGAAAGTTCCAGGTTCTTTGCTCCTACATTTCCACTGTGGTGAAAGTTTTGTGGAGATGATTATTTTCATCCTCCGGTAGTTCTGGTGTAAACTTGTTAGCTTGTTACAAATTCTTGAAAATGTTGTACAAAATTGTATTTGCTCTATCTCCAAATGTAGAATACATGTAGATAGAAGTGATCCATTTTTAGTTAGGGCAACTTTTTGTTTTGAAATACCAATACAGAGAGAATTAGTATCTTAGGAGTGACACTCCAAGGTGAACATGAGATTTCTAAAATTTATATTTAACAAAAGTATACATCAAAAATCAGCTTAAAGACCTTACACTGCTGCGCATGCAGTCGCAGCACTGTCAGATCCATTGGCCTCCTCTTGGTGGCACCACTGCCAAAGATTCTTGCCGTAGGTTAAGACCAACTTGGCTGGAAAAATGTCATGCAATGTCATTTCACTGACAAAGGTTAAGATCCACAGACTTGAGTCAACAGAGGGTAGAAACTAGAGCAGGAGGAATCATACTGGAGCACCATCTTGACTCTTGGTGCTAAGTTAATCTAATGGCTATTGGCTCCACATTTACATTTAAATGAGATGCAGTACTGAGAGTGGCGTTAATCATCTCAGCTTATCCTCTGCACAAGAAGAAATGCACCATGCTGCTGTTACCTGATCTGTCTGTCATTAAGGCGTTTCCACCCAGTGCTCTAAAAAAAGTTCAGCTCCATTGTCTACCAAGAAATGGAGGGAAAACCTGACGAATCAAATCAAGTCAATCCACCGTTTCCTGGAAATGTATTTCAATGTTTTGCACAGCAGCTGGTTCACTTTGTGGTGGCAGAGAAAAGATAAGTGTTCAGCAGAGCGACCTCCAGCTGAGTCAGAGATGGCTGGAAGATGCTGGAGGAGAACAGCGTGGAGAAAGCTGCAGTCACAGGTTGCAGAGGAAGAGAGAAATCCAGAAGAGACGTGTGTGAGAGAAGGCAGCTGGGCTGCAGAGGAAGGATTTCCAGACCCAAGAAAGGAGTAGAAGAGCTGTGAAAGTCGGAATGTCCTCAGAGAAAAGAGAACAGAGCGTCTGGAGTCTGAGAAGTTATTAATAATGTATCAGACCCACACACACACACAGACACACACACACACACCACACACACGACAACTGCAGCTCATCACCAAAAACACCAGGGAGGAACTGGCAGTGAGCATCTGCAGTGCAGTCTAACAGCCATCTGTCATCTCATCATTGATTAACCAAGTAAAAGACAGTGGATGAAATGCAATTAACTTTAATCTACTCGGGGGGGGGGCAGGATGGGAGGTGGGGGGCAATTTTATAAACAAATAAAAACGACCACGGCTGTGTTTGCTGACTCACCTACAAAAATGAATTATCACCTTAGCTTCTCTCAGCTGTCAATTAAAGAACAATAAATTATTCTTTTTCCCCAAGTGTTTGGTTTTCAGTTCTTCAACGTTGTACCATATATGCATTAGGGGGCAGTAAAGCATCTCGCAAGAACCAGTGCTTCTGGTAAAGCCCCAAGAAGAAGAAACAGGAAGTGGTTAGGTAAATTCACTGACTATTGTTAGGCCTTAAGCCGTGTCATCTTGTAGTTCATGCTCTAATCCATAGTTTGGCCTTGGCTGACGAGCAGTGATCGCTGGCTCACCTGCTGTCCAAAATACACCTGGAATATTCCAAGTGTGCAAATGTAAAACAGTAAATGTATGGATTGTTCTGGAAGACTTCCATAGAAGAATAAACAAAACAAAACAAACACATTGAATAAAACAAACAGGAATACAAACAGAAACTACATATATTTAGATAACAGGATGGGATTTATTTATTTTTTTAGAGCTCTGTCTCACATGCTGTGGAAAATGTGTTTTCTTTCTTCAACAGTATCAGACAGAGCACTTAAATACCCATAAATAATACTTGTTCAACTTAACAGTTTTATTAAATATGTGCAGTGGATTAAGAACGGTTGGGAAACACTAGTGTAGAGTATCTCCACCATCGCCACACAACTGGTGGCAATAGTTTGAAGTCACTGACCCCTTGTGGAGAGATTGTACAATGCAAGCAGGACCATAATAAAACCAGTGGAGGGATCGGACGTGAACTAAAGACAGATCATCCATCCTCCATCTCACACCGTGTCTTTTCTTTGTGTATTTTTCTAAGTATATGTGGTTGGACCAAAGCTTGGCTCAGACTGTGGGCACCAGATGTTGAACACATACAGTACAGCCGGTCTGTTGTGCTGCCCGTCAGTCATCTTAATTGTTAGTACTATAACTACAGTACTAACTCCTGGTACAAATGACTGTGCCAGTCATTTTAATGTTGCCACTCTAACGTTACCAATGCTGTCTCTTCCTGTCACTCTCAGAGATCATCATCATCATCATCATCATCATCATCAGCATCTGTATTGTTCACAGTCATGGGTTCACATGGTGTCAGTTTACCTGCTCAGACACAGAGCCGTGCTGAAAACCACAGCTCAAGTCACAGCCCTCTCCCCTGACTCCACCCAACTTCACCCAGTGGTAAAAGTCAGTCCATTTCCAGCCAGTCAGAACAGGAAGTCCAATCCACTAACACCTAATCAAGACTACTTCAAGGTGGGACTAGTCTGCTGATTTAACAACACTCAACCATCAGCTACACAGTGTTCAACACTTCAGACCGTAATTTAGTGGACTGCAATTAAACTGCTCATTAATTTTGACCTTCTGTTATTAGGTTAACCAATCCCATATACTGTCTGGAATTCTGAGGTTGGTCAAAAAAAGCTACCTGATTAGATAAGCAGATAGACAGACAGATAGATCGATCGATCGATCTGATTGATTGATTGATTGACACAGACAACAAGTTGTCAAAGCTAGAAGGTCAGATAGAAAAAGAAAAGTTTAAAAATAAAGAAAAAAACATATCTCATATACACATACAGTATATACATTTTCACTCGTTCTGGACAAGGATTCAAATCTTAATTGCGGTTTATCTTATTGTTCTGTGCAAAATTCAGTAATGAATCAAAAGTTGTGTATCATCTACATTTTCTTTAACAAACAACAACAATTCTTTTAAACTTGAGTTACTTTTTTATCAACACAAAGAATGTAGCTCAGCTTGTCTTCCCTGCAGGTGGGGTTAACACAGTCAGTCATTCATTATCCACCGTTTAATGTTTTGCAGGTTGGCAGGAGAGCTGGAGCTGACCAGGGACTGGAGAACTGTCCAAGGAGAAACAACATAATGATGTTAAATAAATGGTACAGTATTTTATAGTGATTTAAACCAGAACACGCTAAAGTGAGACAGCGCTGGTCCGGCTACTGCTGACCTGTGTGACCAGTGACACTGACACAACAAACCCTAACAAGCTCTCAGTTTGTCACATACTGTATATGTAAAAAAACAAATGCTTAAAACATTCAAATTGGACACTGCAACATAACACAAATGTATTTTTGATGTTTATTTGGTGTAGGATGACAGTCAGTGGATTCAAACATGTCCAACTTGAGGTGAGCTTTTAATAATAAATGTTAGAGTAGAGTAGTAGAGTAGAGTAGAGTAGGGCTTTATTCATCCCCCTTGGGGGAAACATACTAGTACAGTAGGCAGTGCAGAAAAAGAGAGAAGAGGAGTTAACACAATAAATAGAGTAAAAAAGAACTAAAAAGCAAAGAGCACTCAAAAATTAAAGTAAACCTTTAGAAAAAAATATACATTATAAACAAGAAAATATACATATTGCACTAAAAAAGTGGCAGTGAAGGGTGCAGGTAATCAAGGGGGGTGCAGGTAATCGAGGGCAGTACTGCAGCACTATGATGTGCCAGTTTATTGTACAGGAAATCCCTGGACACAGCACTTTTATTGTTTCAAAGTATAAAAAAAAAATGTCCCTTTGTCCTCAGTGAGGTCGATCCATTTCATTCTATTTCCATAACTTCACCTTGTTTTCTGTTCCCTGGCATAACCTTCAATATTTGTTTGTACTTTTAACAGTGCCATTCCTGATGAATCACACATTAACTCATTATGTGACGCCGACTCAAACCGAAGTGACTCCTGCTGCTCCCTGATGTTTTTATGTCTCGTCTTCTTTCATTATGAATACGCTGCTGCCCTGCTCCTGAATGTACATCTCTGCTCTGTGGAGACGAAGCTGAATGAGATCCCAGGGCGCTGCTCTGCACTAATGCCCTCGCTTCATCACACTGAGCTGCACTGATTTCACCTCACAACACAACATGGTGGACATCTGAGGCTGCGGCTCTACTGGATCGGTCCAGTAGGACTGACCTCTGGAGAAAGAAGTCCAAGTGACACTTGAGATTTGGATGAATGATTCAATAATCTTGTCAACAGGAACTCAACAGAGACATTTATATCCAGAATGTTAGGCCGTGAATAACATCGACACTTTCCCTAATTCTGGAGTGGCAGTGTGACATGTTTGCTCTCATTGCTTCAGAGTTTAAACAAGATAAGAGGGTGGAGGTGTGTGTTAGCAGGCGAGGATGCGTGTGTGTGTGTGTGTGTGTGTTCATGGTGATCTGGGTGTGACATCTGCTGTCAAACAGAGGGCAGAAGGCGACAGTTTAACAATGAGACAACAGAAAGTGACCCAAGAAAAACTCAGGTGTGTGTGTGTGTGTGTGTGTGTTGACTCTCCCGTCAGCCCCGCCCACACCCTTTATTCATACAATCCACCTTATCTCACAGCATGTTGTTGTTGTTAGACAATAATATGAAGCAGGTTTAGTTCAAAGCTGACCTGAGATTTCTGCTTTTGGTCACGTTTCCCATCAAAACCTCCGCTGCTGTTCAGATATGGTTATTGGTGGGTTTGGTTTCACGGAGAGAAATGTTCAGTAAAACTGGATCTACAGGAGCAGGATTTAGTTACAGACCCATGACTTCAGGGCAATAAAGGTTTGGATTAGCAACCATGACTTGTTAAAAAAAAATGTCTGTGTGTGTGTGTGTGCATACACACCTCCCTCCTCCCAACTCCACTCAGACAGGTAGCAGTTATACAGGTATTCTGGATATTCTCGCTGGGTTTGTAGAGGGAGGAGACGCAGGAGGAGGAACGTTGGGGAAGACATGGCAACACGAGCCTTATAAAGACAGAGTCACACCCTCCTGATGGCCTGAGTTCAGCTCTCCTCACAGACCACACTGCTACTGGTAGCAGCAGCAGCAGCAGCAGCAGCAGCAGCAGCAGCAGCAGCAGCAGTGGCGGTGGCGGCGGTGGCAGCCTGATAACAATGCTCAGCCTCATCCGATTACCACGAGTCTTCACCATCAATCAAGTACCCAAAGTAAGTTCATCTGCCATGTGTCTTGACTGGACATTCAGACTGCAGAGGTGAGCTTCCACAACGTCACACTGGAGATGGACTCAACCAACAATGTTCATGTGATTTATCATCAGACACCCTAATGGCATTACATCACTGGTTTCTCTATTTAAGTGCACTTTAAGAATTGGATTATTGTTTCAGTCAAAGTTCACTGGGCTACAGTACATGTGACAAAAGGAAGGGAGATGTCTCAAAAGACTGATTCATCCTGAATTGTCAGTTTTCTACGAAAGGAAGGTTTGACCTCAAATTAATTTGTCAGCCTTTGGTAAATAATCATTGTCATATCCTGTCACCTGTCTAAAATCACACGCTTCGCTCAAGTTTGTGGCACACGGGTTTTTACCTTAAAGTGATATTTTCAAAGTGGCTAATTGCTATCAGTAGATAAAAGATGATTTTTTTTCTGCCTTTTAACACAATCCTTCCGTCATCCATCTTCTACTGCTTGGTCCTTTCAAAGGTCACGGTGTGTGCTGGAGCCAGTCCAAGCCCTCACAGGGAAAGGGCAGCGTACAGTCTGGACAGTTAGCCAGTCCATCACGGGTCCACAAGACAAACAGATATTCACACATTAATATTCACATTTATTCACATGGTCACATTTTTTAATCCTGCATTTTTGTTGCTGTGAAAGGCACGTACAACACACACACACACAGGGCATTCACACAATATACAAGAAGAAAAAACTAATCTTCTTCCCTCTCCTATATCCTTATATAAATAAAACATCATTACAAATGCTACGCAACATTGAATTGTTCATTTCAATGTGCTCAAATCAATCAACGTTTAAGCCAGTCAATACCTCTGAGGTATTTCTTTCCATGTGTTGTTACTACTAACTGAAGTGTCAGTGTTGATAATGGTTTGATTTTACTGAGAAACGTCCGCACGACAGAGAACTAACCGTGGCTTCTCTCCTTTGAGGTTTTCCATGAAGAAAGCATCATCTACGGGTACCGTCATCCTCGCAGCTCAGCCACAGACTGTGTCCTCAGCCTGTTCCAGCTCACCAATGAGACACTCAACATCTGGACCCACTTTCTGCCCACCTGGTACAGTAGACAAACGATGCTTCTTTTTTTGTATTGGAAGTTGTACGATCCTTGTTTATTCTTCTCAAACGTTGAAGAAGCAAAGGGACGACTGTGCTACTGTACAACAGGAATCTTGCAAAGCTTGTACAGCCTTGAACGTGCCTCAACCTTCAGGATGAAGTTAAAGATAGCATACCAAGACAGGTTTCCACCAGAGACAAATAATAGGCTATAAAAACAGAACAACACTATGTGAACCAAATCAGTGTCATTTCCTAACTGTTAATTTGTCAGGACAAATGCTTCAGGCTCCACTGACCTCTAACAGGGGGGAGATTATCAATGTTTGAACAGAAATCATTGTTGCTTCAAACAAACCAAGGTCTTGACTATTATCATCAACCAGGAAGCTCCCATTCAACTAATCAATAATATATTTTTACAACAAGACATTAACACAAAATTGCAACTTTGAGATAACATAATGAAAATGTATTTGTGACTTGTGGTTATGCAGCCTTCAGTATCTGTAAAACCCAGCACTGTCTGACCTGAACTGAACTTTACAACACGTTAAAATGTTTTGCCTGGAGAAACTCTTCATTAACATGTGATTATAATTTTTTCAAACACTATAACAGTCTAATAAAAAAGCTACTGTTTTTCGATGTAGATGCATAAAATCCAGTTATAGGCAAACATGACAAGTGTCAGACTGGAGGATTAGACTGAGTGACTGAAGACTGAAACTGTCACAGCTGAACACCAAAAACAACAATGGTGTTTTTGCTTTTCATCTGTTGAATTTTCTTGTTTTGTTTTGATGTATTTCACAATACATCATACTTCACAAATGTGTTTGTGTGTGTGTGTGTGTGTGAGTTACCTAAACACTACGATGTATTTCCTCCCTGCTGAGCTTCCAGTTGCCTCGACGGCAGGGTCTCCACAGAGAGAGTTTGTGTGTGTGTGTGGGTGTGTGTGTGGGTGTGTGTTTTGAGACTATATACACTACCTTGGGTGTTTGTGTCATGGGGCCCAGCATAGAGCTGCAGGGCAGGCTCTAATGAGCCGTCTTGTTCAGTGCATGTTCAGTGACAGAGACAACATGGATAATGTAGATTTATTAATGAGGTGCACTGAGACTGGGGGAGAGGCTGAGACATAAACAATGGCCTCTATGTTTTAGTGACTTTTACATGGGAGGACGTTGCAGGTTCATGCATTTGTATAGGGACGTCTTCCAACCAGAAAGTCAAGGATCCTAGGCTTCACCAGTGTGATGGACGGTGTATTAGAACAGGTGGATGAAGGTCAGGAGTCATTTGGTGCATGTTGGTGGAAGTGTTGCGCAGTATGGCTCACGTAGGAGGAACAAAATAACGACCATTACCAGCATGCGGTCGCGCTGAAGTTTGATTTCAAAGCCTCCCAGTAGTAGTCAGGGACATTATCATATGTAGAGTAAAAGAAGAGAACGGACCATGACAGGAGATGGTACTGATGTCCAGGCACAACTTCTAATTGACAGCTACAATACTCAACAGAAGCTCGTACTATATGCAGGCAACAGCGTTGATCACAAATATTTTTTTTGACAAAGGCTGTAACCATGCTTATTATCATTACATTAGAATAACAAGAATTCTATTACATAATGTCAGCGATGCCTGGAGGCAATATCTTAGTCAGTCATGTTACCAGCCAATTCCTCACTGTTATCATAATATGTTTAATGAAGAAAATCACACGGTTCACCCAGCCTGCCTCCTCTGACAGGTACTTCCTGTGGAAACTGGTGACAGTGATCTTGATGCAGACGGTGTGGCTGGATTCTTTCACGTGGCCTCTGGTGGTCTTCCTGTTCTCCTGCTGCGTTTATCCACTCGCATCCAGCTGCGCGCACACCTTCAGTACCATGTCTGTGAGGGCACGCCACATCTGCTTCTTCTTTGACTATGCAGCACTCAGTTTCTACAGCCTGGGTGAGTGGAACTGACCCGGAGTCAGGGGTTGAAAATGTACTGTACCAACTACACTAACTAACACTCACCCAGTCAAAATAAACCTAGTTTGGGGTCTTTATCAAGAATAAAAATGATTAACATTGACAATGTTGGAGGAGACAGACATGACAGTGTTTTGTGAGTTACATTTTTAATAAGAAACATTTTATGAAAATGTTTTGCACTAGTTTTGCATGTCATTGTGACAACATACTGACATATTCATTTAAAGATACAGTGCCATATAAATAAAGAACCATTTTAAGCATTTTCACCCACATTTATATCTATGGTCAACCCCAATCCTAATGGAATTACCAGTATAAAAGTACTAAACACTACACAATATACAGTATATTCCTACATATGTTTGGAATAGTTGCAGTTTTACTGTAAAAACTTGAGCTTCACAGTCAAAGCTAATATCTAAATAATGATTCTCTGCTGTGATTGTGGATGTATGACACCAACATAACAAGGAGTCTGTCCCTGTGTTCTCTCTGAAAGTATCTTTGTAGCTTAGCATTCCTTTCAGATCATATCATCAGTTTAGAATAGTTAATAATTCATCATTCAATAGTTAATAGCGTGGAGACTTGGTTGAGAAGTTGTTTAAGGATCGAAGTAAAATGACCAGGGAAGGTTCAAAGGTTTGGTCAACCACAAAAAAAGTAAGCTACAAAAAGTAAAGTAAACTGCTAAACATTAGCCACAAAGTAGGTTAATGCTAACTAAACAAATGAGCTAAAATGACAGCAGAGTAGCTAAGTTAGTTATTAATTCCCCAAAGAATAAACAGTTTCCCTCCAATCAGGAAAGTATCTTGGTGTCAGTCAGAGTCAGACTGCAGAGATATAAACCAAATCCATGTTAAAGGGAATCTTAACAGACCACATGTGGATGTGAGTGTTAGTGTAAACAGTACATCATGTGACCCGGGGATGGACTGATAAAGCCATCACGGGTGTGCCTCTTCCTCACCCAGTGACTAATAGAAATGGTTTCAACTAATCTCCCCCTCCTCCCTTTGCACCTGCAACAGAAGACTCCACACAATAGGGTCACAATAACTGAACCAAAAGCTGATAGCAGCAAGTGTCCCTGATAAGGACAAAGAAGAACTGTGACCTCTCATCTATGATTTGTTTTTAAGTATTTTAGTTCATACTATGTCTTTATTGACTTTATTTTCTTTTTATTCTCATATTCCAAACTCTTAGTCCACTTTATTGCCACTGTCGAGTCTATTGTCAGCTCACTGGGCCACTTTGCTGTTTATTTGTTGTGTTGCAGGATCAGCGATCATCTATTCAGCCTATGTGTTTCCAGACAGATGGGTGAACAGTTTCTTCCACCGCTGCTACATGCCCATCGCTGTGGTCAACACTGTCGTCTGCACTAGTATCGCCTGCTACTCCAGGTACACTGACAGGCTGTGGTTCAGTTTCAGTGGTCGAACAAAGTAGAGCTACTGCTTTGTTGTTGCTGCTGCTATCACCTTAGCACTGATGCCGTTGTCAGTCATTGAAATACTAGAACATTCTAGTGGTTGCTAAATGTCTGGTTCTTAACTTGTGAAGTAATTCTCAACCAAAATACCATGATTGGATGATTGATTTGTTTGAGATGAAGCAGCAATGATAGCGGATTATATGGATTTTGTCATCTGTTTTGTCATCTCTGTGGGAAACTACACTGTTCTTTGCACCTTCTTCAGTTTGTAGTTTGTTTTCCTCCCCAGACAGTGGATTAATGTTGTTTTTTCTTCTGTCCTCACTTCTCTCTCCCTCTGCTAAGGCTTGGTTTACCATTTCTTCAATATAATCATGACACCATTAAGAGGTAAAAACAACACCGAATTAATTCTGCTTTCCTTACGGACTGTTTGTGTGTCTCTGTGTGTTCTGTCTACAGTTGTAGAAGTAGTGACTTGTCTTTAAACCAGTGATCACAAACCTTGGAGAGCTACTGCAAGGGTACAATGTAATAATAATCAAAAAGAAAACTAATTCTGCTCCGTCAAGTTCAGGGACATACAGTAGCAGACACTCTTCTTACCATTGTCTTTGCACCCATTTAAATATTAAGTGTAATTTATTAAGAAAAGTACAGTAACAGTACAATATTGACCCTCTTGTTGACTAGTTTTATTTTTAGAACATACCCCACAGACACCCTACGTGGTCCATGGGCGTGACCAGGTGACGCCTGCTTTAAACTAGACTTCCATCCACAGATGTTACACACTGAGGAGTCTTCAATTCCAACTCAGATTAATGTGTGTGTTACTTCATTGTAACTATAGTGACCGAAGCCTAAACAGTGATTAAGTCCAAGTGTAGTTTTGGCTGGACAGGGTATGGAGCTAAGAGCAACATCAGTGAGTCTGAGGCCCACTTTATTATTACTTACACAGCAAAAAAAGAAAAAAAAAAGAAATAAAAAAGAGCAGTTTAATGCTGCATAAAGTATATATTACTTTATTAGGTCAATTATCATGTGGACATAGACAAAGTGACGGGTTGCAGTGAATATCCAGGACTACTTATTGTATAAGGTGCATTCTAAACAATGACTGTTGAACCTTATGATGGGTTGCGGCTCATCCACAGTGCAGCTCTATGTCATATGACATTAGGCTGACATGGGTAAGGAGATGATTTGTAATCAATTCAACATTAGATACGGGCTAAGCTAATGTGTGCTATAATGATAAGTGCTTAATGATCTGTGTTGAGTGCTACACTTTAAGCACAGAGATTTTAGTTTGCAGAGGGCGCTATTTATAAAGCTGTAAATTGTGAGGAGTTCAAACATCCTCTTCCCATTGCCTCCATCTAGGACTTTTTAATACTTCTGTTCACACACTACATTTAATCTAAGTTATCCTACCATGTTGATTTTATTGTTACAGATGCTATACTATAATAGACACTGTACACCCCCACCCAACCCCAAAATGAATTTTCCTTATGTATGATGACTAAAAATTGTGTTTTT